GCTGCTGCGGGGGCCGGAGGAGTCCGAGGGGCGGGGGAAGCCGTCTGCTCCTCGAGTCTCCTGTAACAGTTTTGTGGATGAGACAGGATTTGAGCTGAACCTTAAAAGGAAAAGACTTTTAGGACATTTCAAACTAGAGAGGAGCGAGAGCAAAGGAGGGGCAGTGGGGAGCCAAGCTGAGTTTTGGGACGAGTGATGTTACATTTCAGGAGCAGAGGGTGTGAGGGGGCACATGGGCTTTAGAGCCAGGCTTCTTCTGGTTCTCCAGCTGTGGACAAACAGCCTAACTACTCCAGCTGTTTTCTTCCTTCCTTGTGTTTTGTTTTTAAGGTGTGTGTCCCAACCTGTGGGTGTGTGAGGAATTACATATTTAGGCATTTGGTGGTATAGATATAACACACATGAAAGCTGCTTTCACAGGTCCTGAGGTGTAGAGGTGGCCAGAGAAGCTTTTCTCTGTAAAGACCATTTATACCACCACCCTCTGCATATGCTCACAGTCTCTTACTTCCCTGGTAGCGCAAGATAATGTGTGACCTGAGCCCTCCCTGCTTGCCCCCTTCCTCCCCTGCCACTGTGCACTGACTTCCCGCCTTATGTCCTGTGCTTCTCCCTCCGTCCTGCCTCTTCTCACTCTGGTGCCTCCTTCCACCTTCAGGTCTCAGCCTAAATGTCACCCCCTCAGAGAGGTTTTCATTGGTCGCCGTCTGTAAAGTGGTGCCCCCATTGCCAGTGCTTTTTCATAACCTGTAATTATTTTGTTTGTTTATTCTATCTCTGGGGCTGTAATCTTTCTTGTTCATCATATTCTTAGGACTTACATAGTGATTAACATGCAGTAAATGGAGGAGCACTACTCATGAGATAAAGTTAATATTTGTCCACGGGTATTAAGGAAGGCAGAGGGTCCTGGGTTTTCATTATGTCAGAACTGTCATTTTTAACCCTAATTTTTGTTTTCTCTGTTATTAGCCTAATCATCAAAAATATTTAAGTATAGCTCTGTAGATGCTGTGGCATAACTATAGCTATATTCAACACAGAAAAATACTCCTATTTAGAACAATCTCAAGATTTACTGATAATTTTATACACACCCAGTTCGGATCACATTACTGCAATACTTGGTAACTAGCAAAGCCTTCCACGTCTTGGCAGTTGCCTACTGCATTCACATTATATTCAGTGTCCACGCGATTCCAGGGCCACAGCGTATCTGAACATACCCTTGGGGTTCCTGGTTAACAAGATGTGACCTGAAGTTTTAAAGGGCATGTAATTCTTAAGACTCTTCTAGTGAGCAGCAGTTCTCTGTGATCTGTAAATACCCAGGGTGCTTGTCTCAGCAGATTTCGCCTGATTCCCCAAGCAACACGAAGCCCAGAAAACACCAAGGTCCCTGTTATTGAGAAGCTATCCTGACTTCTCTTGGGTTCCTTCTGGTTTCTGTTAGTTGCATGTAGAGATGCCAGGCTTCTGAGTGTCAGAAGTAAGGCATAATTACATAGGTATTGGTAGGGATTTTAAAAGTGGGAGGAGAGCCTTGGAGAGAGGTTTTCCTTTTTTAGTTCCTGGGAAAATTATTCTCAGCAGGTTTATTTAAT